ACCGACCAGATGTTGCGCCAAAATGTGTTAGTGGCATCATCATCCGGTCGCCGCCCGTCAGCCACATCTTGGTTGGATCGTTCCCAATCTCTGTATACCCACCTCTGATCTCTTTGGAACATGCGATTCTGAGTATAGCGCTCCACTCTCTTTTTGTAACGTCTAATACGGTTTGCCCATGCATAAACTTTCTGCTTCAGGAAGTCGATGCGCTCTGTAACACGTGACAGGTATTCATGAGGACTGGTTTCAGTCCCCACAAATGCACGTCTTACAAAGCGCATCACTCTAGGGCGAGTATTGCCCTCCCTGAAGCAGGATAGTTTGCCAATGAGTACCCTGGCCTCACTGATACGACGCTCTATCCTATACTGCCAGGCAGGTACTGCTGGTTTTGGTCGGACTGCTGCGTCAAGATTTGGGAATCTGACGTTAGCCACTCGACAAGCAGCTACTGCCCCACAGTACAAGATTGAGTGTGTATCATAGAGGTTTTCGCTACTCTCAAAATATTTTTTAAGTAGCGAATCCAAGGCGCTCACCAGCGCCCTATTTTTTCTACACATGGGCAAACGTGGTAATTTTGGTCTTAAATTGCTAGGAGCAAGTCTATACTCACGAACCGCATCCTCCAAAGCACTCCTCAGTCGTTCATTGCACTGAGTACTCACTTGTTCAACCCTGTCATCCTCCACACCAACGATAGGGGTGGTTGGCGTCACACATTGTGAGACTATAGGTGTTTGTGCCACCGATTGTGGTGGTGCAGGGACGACACGATTGCGCAGTGCTTCTAGGCGTAGCCGATCAAGCGCAGCCTATTATTATTACTACTTATTATTACATTATTATTACTTTGCCCGACCCGGGAATCGAACCCGAGACGCCTTGCCTGGCAGTCGCACTTGCGATCACTCGGCCAACGAGGCAGTCACATTTAGGCATTAGTCTATAGTTGTAAATAGACCAATTCGTATAGATAAACTTTTAGAAATATCACCATAGAATTCAAGTAAAAACCAAATTACCCATTTCTAAGCCCCGAAAACGAACAATCGACACACACACACACACACACACACACATATGAATTTACAGTATATTATATGATAGATATGAATTTAATAATATTCTTTGTACTGTCTGTATCTAACTGTATATCTATATCATTTTGTTTCAGGTATGAAGAGAATAATTTCATAGCTGTTTATTACATACTGAAGGTAACTTTAATAATATCATACTATCTTATCTTTGATAAAGTACTGTAAAGTCTCTGATGTTAAAAATCGTGATATTATGCGATATTAAAATAATGCAATCTGTTTGTAACGCCAGTAAAATTATGCAGGTATTCACATAACAGGCGTAGATATCAGGAATTTCATTAAAATTCGTGTACGAACGGTTGTTTCAGCCTAAAACTGAATAGTTTGCAAACAGAATCTAACTCATACACGTTCATACGTCGTTAGTAATAATGGTTGGAGTTACAGCTGAAATATTTTCAGTTGCAAAAATGAAACATACTATATTATTATTAAAGTTTATTTTTATGAAATTCAGAAAAATATGCGCGGAGAGGAATGGTTAGCAAAAACTTTTTTATGGAGTAGGTGGCAAACGAGCTGGCAGATACTCGCACCACTAGAGAAGTTAAAAATGCACTGCTGGTCTTGTGGTGATGGGTCCGGTAACCTCACTCACACTCGCTGGTTTCCTATGAGGTTGTCGTATCACTCCGGTGACGCTGGCCCAACCGTGCCAAAGCATTCTGCGCGCGCCTCAAAGAGCCATCAGACCACCACGCATGGGGCCCAATAGGGCCGATGCCGATGTCGCGGAGAACCTAACGGGTTACCGGGGCTCTGGCTCGAAGTGCAGGAGTAGGAAGGGAGTGGTTTTTAGTCAGTAAGAGTCTGACGCTCCCTCCCGCTTCACCCAGGCGGGAGCAGCCATTCGAAGATTGTGCCCCTCAAAAAAAAACATGGCAAAGCATGGCTCTCATAATGTAACAAATTAGCAGGTGTTGTGCTTATTCGCTCCGGGCAAATACATAAAACAATTCCCATATGCGATATTCCACGTAAATCAAGTCACAGTCAAAAGCCAGTATCACATAGCTCACATCCCGAGACTGACATAATCCACATTACACAAGGCTGAATAAGTACGTAAAGATTGCTTCTGTCACACAGTTTAGGGCAAAATCAGGCCGAATGACACCCAGCCACCCAATGATTTAATGTTCCCTAACAAAACTACCTTCGTAACTAACTTGTGATCCGAATTTTCCGCTCCGAACAGAAATAATTTCCCGGAAAAAACAATGTTAGGGAAAAGTTTTTCCGGAAATAGATATACGTCAAACCCGGGTAGGATGGGGACACATCCGTCATTGAGTAAATCCGGTGAACTTTTTGATAAGGGTTTTTGTGGACGTGCGATTTTTAGTCGCAATTCCACAGTCCAAGGATTTATTGGGCATATTTATGACTTGCGCCTTTTTATACGTTGTGTTATAAATTAAGTGTTGGAGAAGTTTTATTTAGTTAACTATTTTATTAGGTGTTTCTTATGAGATGTTTAAAAAGGCTTTAGGCTTTCTGTGATTTACTCACTTTTATTTTTTGAGTAACTAACGCCACGAAGTCTAAATCGTGTTGGTGGCGATTGCCAGACTCAGTTATTTGCAGTGACAACAAACAACACAACAATGACTATTATTGAACTATTTAATTTTTTATATTACTTTTAGTGTCTCTTAAGTTGTACATATTTCTTTATTATTATATTAAATCTTTCGTAAGACATACTAATTTTATTGATTATTATGTTTTCGATACTTAAGTAACTGTTTGACGAGGAACTCGACTAGTTTCAAGCCATGCTACAGGCTCATATTCATAAGCAGCTATCCGCGACCTGCGATGCGGCAACTGTATCGCTGCTACTCGCACTGAGTAAGCTGAAAACATAATAATTAATTCCCTTATACCTGTAAATACCTAACTAATAAAATTGGCCTTTTACATTTGTATATTTCCATTTCATTCTTTAAATCATGCAAAACAAAAACGGGTGTTAACTACTGGACTTCTACTTTCATCTTCAGACCTGTGCACAAAAAATCTATATACAGAATCTAGACACAAAGTCAGCAAGTCTAAGTCCATCTTTATTTTAGGTCTAACAGTAGTGGCTTGTTGAGAGTAATCCGCCCGTATCATTCGCGACGGTAAAACGTATTTGCCGTGAGTAGAAAAGTCAACAAAATAGGTATTAAAGGAGACCTAGTTTAGTAAGTGAACGCTGTTGTCTACATTCTTATGTGTTTCAGTTCTATACGAATAGAAATGTGTCTCTTGTTGAATAGGCAGACACGATGCATTAGTAAATATATATCTCTATTTCTCATAAAGAATCATATACATCATTCGCTTACTGAGAAACAATATTTAACACGATTTAGAGCGCACAGTAGTACGTATATATAAACAAATAAAAACAATACCTACCAAAAACGTATAAATGTGGCGAATATAAAATAATAATATTATTTATAATATATATTATATATAATTTTTCAGTATTTAAAAATATAAAGAACAGAATCAAGTAACACGGGAAGACCAGTAAATTATAACAAAAATATGAAGTAAATGTTAGTAAACTAAAAAAAATATCAATCACTTGACCTTGCAATGTTACTATGGAGGAACACATGAACTATTTTTACTAGATGTGGCATTGATAACATAGTTTGTAATTAGTGTACCGAAGGACTTCTCCACCGAAGGAGGAGAGGAGGAGAAGGAGTTGTTTTGACACAGTGTAGGTGTAGGTACTGTAGTTAGGTACCAGCTGTGTGTAGACAACGAAATTAAAAACCTGTCACCAACCCTACCCGCTTTAATTTATACTTTTTGAATTACAATAGTATTTAATACTACCATTATACGTCAGTTTATTACACATAATATAAAGGTTTTTTTTTTATTTCTTTTTATATAATAGCATTGTATTAGTTTGTTTTATTGTTTATTATTGTTATTTCTGTCGGTTTCTTCGGTATTATTACTTTTTTTTTTATTGTTTGTGTAACACACTATGTGTCTCGGTGTTATTATATCTTTTCCTGCCACAGGCCCACAGGAAGAGATTCCAGTTGGAATATGTGGGGCCTATGTACTCTGTTTTTATATATGTGTTGTCCTCTGTGTTGAATGTGTGTACATGAATAAATAAATAAATAAATAAATAATTCCACCACCTTACCTATACATATAACTTGACTCGATTCTGCCCACATATCAACGACAATGCCCAACCAATCAAATATTAATACGGCTATTATACGCTCTATGAGCCCGCATCTGCTGCAGCGCTGTTAAGCGTGCCTATAAATATCATAATAGAATCAATAAACTTTATAGCTGCGTTGGCAGTTTTGCTGGTTTGCTGAAAGGTAAACATGGTTACTGTTCTTGTACTTGGACGTATGAGGGATAGAATTATTAGGAGTTATATAATATGACCAGCTACTTCCACGCGGTTTCACACGCTTTGCTCAACTCCTATTGGTCGTAGCGTGACGTTTTATAGCCTATAGTTATCCTCGATAAATGCGCTATCCAACACAAAAACAATTATTCAAATCAGACTTGTAATTACGGAGATTAGCGCGTTCAAACAAACAAACAATAAAACAAACTCTTGCTCTTTATATAATAGTATAAGATATTAAGTCTGTTGTTATACGAAGTATTACTGGGTTTTATATTATAGAGGTAAAAACTTCTCAGTAAGTAGTGGCACGGAGTTTGGAATTGTGCCCGGGTATATGGCAATAGGCTCACCCCCTATTACATGGGACTCATAACATGAATAGTGAAAAGTGGGTATCACATTTTACAGTGGCAATAAGTGCTGTAATTTACACCTCTATCTACCCCTTTGCGGATAAAATGTCGTGAGGTTATGTTAAGTTATACGATAGAGAATAACTTATAAGGGTGATTTGTGGTTAATTTATTTGGATGATGGCTTGATTTTAGTATGGGGTCAATTTTTACAATAAGTAAGTATTGTTAACCTGCGAATATTATGCCAATAGTACTCAAAGTCGAAGCATATAATTGAATTAATCCTTAATCAGGCATTTTTGAAACGTCAAAAATTTATTTAATCAATCCGTCTGCCTATTAGTGAAGCTGGGCACTCGTTCCGTAGTGCAGTTTCGAATGGAGAAGAACGAGCAAGAAACTCCATCGTTATTCTTTGAAAACAATGTTTTTTTTGCAGTCTCATCTAACTGTGTGTCTTTGTTACATACCATATTTCGCAAGCCTAGAAGTCATAGCAACCTCTCTGCCTTAAGCCTTTTTACTCAACAGTGAACTTATACTCCTACCCGACTGATAATACCTCTACGGTAGTTGACAGTAAATCAAATTCAATTCGTATAATGAAATGTCAAAAACGATACGTTTCTATGAATTTTGTATTGGATCGCAACTTATGACGTCATCATATTTCTGCGTCAAATAGCATACTTATTTCCTTATAATTTACGAGAAAAAATTTCAAAAGTCTATTATCTATCCTATTTTAAAATACCTAAGCACCTGTGGCTCCCCTGGTATTGCTGGTGTCCATGGGCGGCGCCGATTGGTTACCATCAGGTGATCTATCTGCTAGTTTGCCTCCTATTCCATAAAAAAGTATCAACTCCATTACCAAAACAAACTCTACCAAAACATTTATTAAGCTCCCAAAAAAAATAACAAAAGAATACCTTACAATAAGACCCCATGATTACAGTTCCATTACTCCACCTAGTTTCAGAAACCTGATGATCACAGACACCATGCCCTGAATATAAATCCGTACATGAAATAGTGTCCTTTTATGACCTGATATCGATCTATGAACCGGTACCGCAATTACGGCGGCATCCCACCGGAATTTGGAATTAGGAATCATTGCACGTTTACCCTGATAAAACGTAATATTAGGAGAAAGAATATCGAAAAAGTTCACCCAATTCCGAGGTCAAAAGTTAGTTGCTTTTTCTAATGGAAAATATTATAAGTATTGTATTCATGGATTTAGTTTTGGATTATTAATTACTATTTGTTACCCGTGACTTCCTCCATGTAGAATATGATTCCTGTTTTTTCCATGAGAGCATTTAATCAGGATAAAAAGTATCACAGAATTC